CTGTGAAGGATAGGTATAAAGGCAGCTGCCGCCACTCATCGTGGTCTAAATGAAGGCGCGTGCGTGGCTGATGCCAACGTGGCGGCGCGCTGACCCTAACCCTACGGCGACGTCCGACCAAGTACAGGGCTCGATTCTGCGAACTTGGCTCTAACCATCACGCTCGGTCCTGCGTCAATCCCCCGGTGTACAGACAAGTGCGCATATCTTCTTACGCGGCGAAATCCATACTGTCCACCCATGTACCGAAGTATTATACTCTCCTACAGGCTACCGGCCAACATTCTTAGGGCCAGTCTTCTTCGAGCAATCCATCGGCATCTGGGGACACTGGACAGGTCCCTGGGTGTGCCTGCAACCAGCCAAGAATGCCTAAAGGCAGCCTGGTGATGGATTCGTTCAAGACGCGTCGAGGTGTGGCGCACCGCTAAGTGCTAACCCTAACCCTAAGTGTACGTGACCTCTCCCTCGCGCCCTCCTCTCCTCAAGACCCCACTCCAACACAATAGTACCCAGCTTGGCAGGCATCTCATAGTATGGCCTAAAATCCACGAGAACATATCGTTCGGCAGCCTTGTGATGCCCTCCGGTCTGCATTCGTGCGTTGCAAGTAATGACCATTCTATCTTTCGCAGTTCTGTACGATCTGAAGGCTGTCCGCTATCGACTTCATGTACCACCTGGTGCACATTAACAACCACGCGTGTGCTTTGCGGTGTCTGGCAAACCCGATGGCACTGCACTGATCGAGAATAGAATAGGCTTCTGTGAGAATGGGCATGACTTGGTTTGCAGGGCATAGCCTCAGTTTTTATGCAAGTGTTATGATTCTTGATGTACTGGAGCTCCGGCGTGCGGGTGGTTTGAAAGATGGCTGCTTCTAGAGTGAAAACTGTACCGGGAATCGCACGGCATAGTCCCGTGTTCCATATGAGAGATAGGAATTGAACTCGCTGCTGGGTGCTTCTTGAGGAGAGTGCGAAAAAGTGCCAACATGTTATCCGATCACTCAGATAATAACTCGCAAGTCGAATCGTACATGTCCGAATCAGACAAGCGCTACACTAATCTCCACCACGGCGAGATGCAAGGGTAGTTCACTGGGCTCTGGACATTTCAATCCAGACAAGTGCGCTCGAACAAGTTAGCGCCCGACTCCTGGCTATCCTTATCGTCGGAACCACCACCATGGAGGGAAGATCCGAGTCCGTTGGCAACTATTGACATCGCGCTCAGAATGGGTCTCCGAGATGGAAGAGGTCACATACATCGCTTCTCGTTTTGCAGCACAGCAGTGGATGTGGGTGTGATGACGAGGCTCATACAGCCCGTGTTGGGAGGAGCATCTGAGTGAAGATGGGTCAACAAACAGTTGCCTCAGCTAAGACGTCATGTTTGGTGTCCACTACCTTCAGATGGGGGTGGCGATCCATAGCCATCGCGGATTCGACGACGCATCTCGGCGGGCTGCGGTGCAGCAAGGCTGCCCGAGAGCTGAAGTGCCACTACGAAGCTAAGGAGAATGCAGGGCAGAAGGCTGAACATGGCTGACAATAGGAAAGGGTTGAACGTGAAAAGGAGGGGGCAGAGATGCGTAAATAAGAATGAAAGAAGGCTCGAAGAAGGTGAATGCGTATAAATCTCAATGCAGTGGGCGTACTTATAGGTCTTGCAAGGAGACGACATGGAGATCGATCACGAACGACGTAGGCGCAGCTTTCCCAGTCTTGATGACGAACAAGCTTCTGCGATGTGTGCTCAGCAGAATAGACACCATTAGCAATAGGGAGTGGAGTCGTATGAGGCGATGTACAAGTTTCGCACATGGACCATCTAGATCAGCTTCACCATGCACATCATGGGCGCAACTTGTCCTTGGAACCCTTCGTCGGGCAGATTAGTAGCCTTAGCACCGCTCAAACTAAACGGTGGGTATCCCGTCCAGCCTCGCGGCTGTTGGCACAAGTTGGAAGAAGTAACAAGGAAGGGAGAGAAGTCGATGAAAAGCGAGGACCACTTCAAACGATCGCGCGCGACTCCCAGTCAACGATACGATCGCAGTGCTTTTGAGGATCACCCAGATTGTACTGCGGAAGAAGCAACATACGTCTTATACGTCCCTGAAGACCTGGATGATCAAATTCATGTTCATCATGAGGATCTTACACGCTTCATGGGAGACTTTGACTCCATATTGACGCTCCTAAACCAGTGGGTTCGGCCCGTCTGACGATCAGCGGGTAGCAAGCGATTTGTGAGAGCACTGCACTACCAAGCGCGCCGCGAACCAGTCGTAGGTATATATAGGTTCACGGAGTAATAGAAGAGGCGGAGAAGGTGTGAGCGTCGTTGTCTTCGGGAATTACTTGGTCGTGGTATGATCCAATGCGCACGCGACTCGAGTGATAGGGTGCGTGCTAACCTTAACCCTAGGGTAACAGTCGGCCCCACGACATTCAGCCCATTGACGGTGGACTTAGAACCAGTCCCGACGTAGATGAGGGGAGTCGTTCACCAAACCGTTGGCGCTACACTGTCTGTCTCGCGAGTCGACGGCTACCAAATCAAGACTTCGCAGTTTCACTCGTAAGTCACGAAGCAATGAATTGTCTTTCATATCAAACATTCCCACAGGATATCTTGCATCGCTTCAGCAAACTCAAGATGAAGGGCACTGCCGCATGTAAAGCTGTACCAAGCATGAGAACCTATGCCCGTACAGTCCCGCATGATCCCGGTACATACGATTTCCGCAGTCTCTGCTCCCACACGAGTATGCACTACTCGTGAGGTCCCTATCAGGATTATGCAGGCCCGGGGAACTCTATGCTCCCGATGAAAGTAGGTTCATGACGGCGTTCCGGCTTGCCACTTGCGTGCTCAGTACTGAGTGTAAGCCCTATGCCCGTGCTATCGAGGGCTACATACTCGTCAATGGGGCTTGCAGCAGTCGTACGCGAGACTTACTGCGCTTGTCTTCGGTGTGAAGAGCGTCATGTAGAGGCAGATCGCGGGTGGTGAGGGCATCGTCGGTCAGTGCATCTATTGAACCCAGGAGTTGAACGAGCCATGTCGGCAGACGACGGATAGTGGTGCTGACCTTTCCAAAGGGAAGGGATGCTGGTGCCTTCATTCCCATCCGGGATCGCGCCTTTCCACCTATTGGGTGCAGCCATGATGTATGTGATCTGCGATGCGAGCATAAATCCAAGGATGATGCGTGAATAGAAAGCGAGCATCGCAAGTCGGAAAGCGGGAGATATGAACAAGAAGAAAAGGAGATGTGGTTGTCAGAACGTAAAGAGGACGGGCCCGTTAAAAACCCAAGACGAATGAAAGAAAATAATGAAACTTGGAGCCTGAAGGTTGAATGGGGGAGTTACTCGGGGCCAATCCAGCCTTTTATGCAGTCAAGACGGACCAAGATGATCGCGCAACCTTGAACTGATGCAATCTGGTTGACGATGTTGAATATGACACCGTTGGAAGACACCCGAGGCGATGAGAAAAAGATGCAACAAGTAATGATCAATGGTCTGCCAGAACGTCGCCGAGACCGCGAGGTATGGCGATGTGACGAGCAGTAAAGGCCATACGTACTGGATCGTATCAGCAATGGGCGTTGACGTGCGGACGCGGCGCTGATGTGCTTACTTGGCTAGGGAGCTTACTGTTGCTGTTACAGACTCCTGACACCTTATTATAGCTGCAGGGCTGTTCGCGAACATGAAACGTGGGTACACGAGCGGGTCACTTCAGAGCCCGTTGCGTAGACTGTGGAACGTGAGTAGATGATACACGACGTGGAGACGGGGAAACATAAGATGTCATGAGAATGTCCATACTGATCGACACAAGTGATACAAATAATGCACACCGAGCACCTCATCCCGAGGCCAAGCCCCACAGCCGCGCTTGAAACGCCTCGTCTGACTCCCCGCGTTCGTGTTGAATCGTATACATATTACCGGAATCTCCTCCTGCCGTACCAAGTCAGAGATGCTCGTGTCGACGAGATGTGCAGTAAGTACGCACGGACAATAACCTTCTCTAGTCTGTCCTTCGCATTCAAGATGGGTTCATATCCCAGCGACTTGAGCATGTAATATCTCAAACTATTTCACACATTAGTCCTCATCTATCGACGGCGGGAGAGTAGCGTGATGGATACGCACGCTGTACCATCCAACTCGAAGTCCTCCGCAGGGTTCTCCGCCTCTAGCTCACGTAGTTCCTTCTTCAACCGGATCAGCTCGCTCTGGTTGGACGCCAGTACGTCGCCGAGTTCTATGTGCTTTTTAGACGCTCGTTGACTGTCCTCTTCGGCGGCGTTCAACATCTCCTCGTGCTCTTCGGCCGTTGGAACGCCCGGTGGTCGTGAGGCAGATGCGCGTTGGGCGTCAAGAGCACTTGCAAGTTCTATAGGGATAGATCAGTATCATTCAGTTACGAAGCATTCGAGTCCGTGATGGACCAAGGGAACGCGTCCAACAAGGACAATACGTACTGCGCAACCGCTCATGCGTCTCATCCAGATCCTTCTTCCGTTCCGCCGCCCGCGCCGACATCTTCTCATCAGCTTCAACGATAGTCAAGTAATCATCTTCCGGGTTCAGCGCTACGGCAAGCTCATTCATCTGTTGGCTGGGTGAGCTCGCTTAGGCATTTCACGGTAGAGCGTGTGGCAAGGGCGGGACGAACATGACTTCATCTGGGTCTAGTCTGTTGCTTTCGATAGCCATGGTAGAGAACGTGAGAGAGTATGCCAATGGAAGAAAACACGTCTTTGTGACACAGCTAGCCGAGTAGGTGGTCGTCGAGGGTTGAGTGCGTTCGAGCCGCATGAAGTGCGTTGAACTTGGAACGCGGTCACATGGGTTCTTTGCGAAGTATGTTCCTACCGTAGGATCTAAACTATCCTACACAGAGAACCTTGCGGTTTTGTGGCTTACATACTTGTTGTCGCTGCTACATAGCCAAACGACAAGAGGGCAAAAATTGGGCCTAACCGGGAATTGAACCCGGGACCTCCTCCAAATTGCTCAAGAAGCCCTAAGAAGGAATCATACTACTAGACCATCAGGCCGATGAAATGTGTGGCTCTAGTAGCAATATTATGTAACTACAACCTATATGCTGTGACTGTCCTATGTTACGGTGTATTCTACTCGCAACGTCTGTATGCTGACAGTATGCACGTGTAGCATATTGACCGCGTACCAGGCGCCCCCCAGGTCAGATGTTTACTTGGTGAATAGAGTGAGGACAGATGAATACACCAGCGACTCAAACTATCATCAAACTTCTGCATGTTTTTTGACCTTGACACTTGCATTTATCGATAGGAGGCACTGAGGCTTCTCTCATGCGGACACGAAAAACCGATGAAGAACGTGAGCATCGCATTCATGTCTGGCGTACCACCGTATGTGACCGACTCCCACCTAGTACACCTCTCAAGCTCTCAAGCCTCGTGTAAACCGCATCAGGAAAGGAGAAGAGAAGTCAGGAAGCATCGACGAAGATCGACAGGAACCCTGAAATCATTCATCGGCAGGTTGAGAGAATCCTATACAACCCGCGTGTACTCCGCGTCTCTTCTCCTCCGTGTATATACTCACTCACACGAGTTGCCGTAGGTAACTAACTGGGGCGTCTGCATTGAGACCTTTGATGTATAGCTGGCGCTAGGCAACAGCACAGCTCGTGATACCAAAGAATTAGAGCTCATAGTTCTCTCGTACGTACGACGAGGCCTGGAACTGCTCGTGAACCTTCTTTATGCATGCCACCGCATGCATGCGGTCCTACACGATGTTTTGAGGGTACTTGGCGGATCGATGCGGTGGGTGCATGTACACGGGCACCTTCGACCATGCATAGAAGCATGCAACGACAGTCATACTACACTGCTCATACGGAGATCACCGGTAACCGTATGTGCGGACGACGTCGCCTGGTCAACACGCACTGGCAGAGCTTTCAATGATATGCGACGAGACAATGTGGGCAAGGCGACGGGGAAATGTCCGCACGAATGGCAGTTGTATTGGTGATAGACTATGTACGGCCAACGCCCGGTCGCCTGCAATTAACAACCACAATGTCTCAACGGCCAACGGCCAAGCTATGCCCTCCTCCCGCCCTTCAGCTTCATCGGCAATGAAAACAATCACGCTCAACGCGGAAGTGGTCGTCGGCCAAGTTTGTTCATATCTATCCTGTGCATGCGCGCCCGTGAGAGCAATGCGGTCCCGAGAGCGGCAGGGAATAGACAGGCTTCAGCGGGACGAGGGAGGAACACAGTTGCGATAAACTGTGGGTCTATGCCGTCGGATGCAGATGCAGACGCGGAAGAAGTCGCCCGAAATGGCGTCAACACAGTGGAGTCTCGCAGGGAGACCCGGTATAGTGTGCTCGTCCGGGAAAGGGGAGGAGGGTCGAGGAGGGGAAGGTGGGTTTGGGGAAGGTCAGAGGATGGTGGAAATCCGGAAGATGCGTGCGCGGGTGGTGCCGGCGGTGGTTGATCTTGGGCGCTTCTGTGTCCTCGGCTGTTCGCAGGGCAGCGGGAGACGCCACCTGCGCAGCGAAGGGCCCCAGCGGGCGATATGAGACATCAAAGACAGCTGTCAAGGTACCATCGCGAAGGACGTAGCCTCGTCGAGCGCTCCCCAGCGAGACGCAATAGTCATTGGATCAGAGGTGGTATGGTCTGGAGGGTCGAAGGACGCGAGGCAGACGAGGGGCGGAAGGAAGAAGTTGAACATGAAGGGGAAGCCTGGGAACGGAAGCGCTTACGTTTGTTGATAGGTTCAGCGGAATTAATTTGCCATCAGGCCCGTGATACCGCGTACTCCAATCTCGATCTCGCCCGCTTCTGGCCCCGCGCGCTCTTCTTTTAGGCTCTTTCCACCTGCACGAAGTCCTTCAGGTTCATTGTCGTGCGGCAGAGCGAGGTGGGTGAAAGAGAACAAAAGGGCTCTTTGTGTATGGTGTGTCGTAAGAACGGAGATCTGTTTCTGGAAGGAGAAAGGCGCGCAGACGGCATGGTGCGGGGGTGGGTAGCGCGATCTGCACGCTGCGCCGCGAAAGTTCTCCCTTTAGCTCGAGTCGAGGCGGCCATCGCCATCGAAGAGCGAAGAAGTGGCCTCAGGCGCTTCTTGTCCGCCGAGGACCCCTCGCTGTTTGCGAATTTGCATGTCTGTTTCGCAACGCCAACGATTTGAGGTTCTCGTGTACGCTTACTCTGTCCTTCCCGTATCGAGTTATTTGTGTGCACGGCGGCGACAAAGGGAGGTGCCATTTTTGAGTGGCCCCTCGTGGAAGAGGAGAAGTCGGACCCGACGGCTTGGCGGAACAGGAACCATGTTATCGTGGATGACGCGGGCGGAATGAGTATGTGGTGATGGGGGGAATTAGGCTTAGCGCGTGTTGCCATTCGACTTTGATTTCGAGTCTTCGCGCGGCGCCTGTCCTCCTTTCCTCCTGCCCCCATCACCCCCCGCCTACCGCCACCTTATTTCCTGCTCTTTCTCGCTGGACGAATATACTCCTACACTTGGTTAATGTTAACATCTGCATGCTCGCCCAGGAGAACGCAGCCCTAATCTCGGGCCCGACCACACCTTCCACTTCCCACTCGTACTCTACCCGCATTCGCAGTAACGAGTCCATTAAACCGCCCGCCCGCCTTCGCCAATCCCCAGAAACCCCACTGCAGCCTCGCAAAATACGACCCAATGCACCGCTGCAGCAAAAGGTCGCTGTGGCCACACCCACTACCACAAAGGCGCCACCGCTGCCGGCAGACACGCCCGAGTTCCCGCCGCCCCATGTCACCTTGCACCCCGATGACTCGACCAGCAAGGTGTTCATAGCTATCGGCCGTTCTTTCCTTTCAGTAGTGCGTACTCTGGATCTGTATGGGGCATACACCCGCTAACTGGGCGCTCCAGGACAATCGGGCCATGACTATCAAAGATCTGGCGGAAATGACCCTGAAGTACGGTTTGATGTGCCAAAAGTGAGCCTCTATCCTTTTTGTTTGATTACGCGTGTAGCGTGTATGCGCGCGCGCCCCAGCCGAACTGCAACGCGCTTTCGGCTGTCCGGCCCGGCGCACGCGAGTGTTGTGGTTCTATTCAATGCTGACTTTGACTTTCTCTCCAGCGTCTCTGCCGCCGGTCAGGCAATCACGACCTACATTCGCAATCATATGCAGCGCTGCGATACTGAACAGGATCATCCGCTGCTTTCTCGTCACGTCCTTTCGGGTACACCTTCCGACGATGATCTGGCCCCTGCACTCCATTCTCGTTCGGGCGGTGCCCACTGCGCTGTTTCTCCCGGTGACACGCGTTCTACGAACTTCCGTCGTGGCACTCTAGTCTGGTTCTTGTCGCGTGCGGCCGGTGCCCCATGCCCTTTCGCGCGTGCCGGCATTCGCCTGTCCGAGTACACCGAGGATGGCAGGGTCGGCGCCACCGCCAACGGCCCGCGCGATCGCAAGCGAGAACGTGATCGCAGACGCCGCGCTCAGGCAAGCGCACAGCTCTGCGGTCAAAAACGCAAGCGGCTATCCCGCGGATGTAAGGCAGACGCCGGAGCAGATACAGAGGAGGAGCCGGACCCTGATCCGCGCCCACCGAAGGTCAAACTCACACTCCGCCTCCGCCCTAGTCTCGTGCACAGTTCTTCGTCATCCAACTCGCCATCTGTCGCGCCTTCTATTTCTGCTTCGCCTGCGCCTGCACCGGCGACTGCCTCACCCTCGGCCTCGCGCGAAACATCCGAGTCGCCTGACGAGGATTATGTCGTGTCCAGTAGCGATGAGTCTGAGACTGGCGAGGAGTCTGAGGATGACATGTCGGTAGACGACGACACCAGCAGTGACAGCGGCTCTGAGGCTTCTTCCGATGCTGGACTCTACGCGAACCCTTCAGACTCTGCCTTCTTCCGCATGCCTTCGCCTTCATCTTTCGCGCTTCGCCATTCCCGCTCACCATCCGTTGCCTCCCCGCCGCCCGACTCCGACGTCGATCTTGCTCATATAGACGAAGACGACGACGATATGTTTACCTGGTCCGCCGACGAGGACGAGTCTGAGCCTAAGGAACCTCACAAGGAACCCATTGATCTTACCATCGTCAAAGAAGAAGTCGACGAGGACGCCATCAGCAGCATGCTCGCCGCATGGGATACTCGTGACCTTGCCCAATCTTCCGCCGCTGTCATCGAAGCCGTCGCAGCAGCCGCCGCCAAGGCATCCGAACAGGAAGCAGCCGCAGCCGCACTCGTACCGAAAGCTGAGGAGGTCTACATCAAGCGCGAGGAGATCGATACTTGGGACTTCGCCGACTTTGGCGCGCCGCCGGTTGCTGCGGCGGCTGCCGAGGAGGAAGAAGAAGAGCAGCCGGAGGAATGGGAGGAGAGCGTCGTCTTCAGTCCCGTCGACGAGCTTGGCGCTATGCGGTGGGGCTCAACCAGCACATCTTCCTGGGCCCCTCATACACCCGCAGAATCCGGGCGCCGCTTCTCCGAGTCTTTCGCAATCGCTTCTTCGTCCGCGCCTCCGCCTGTCGTCAAGCACCGTAGGATGAGCGAACTCTTATGGCAGGACGCGGAGATCCTTGGCCTCGACAGTATCACTCCCAAGGAGCTCGAGGAGGGCGATTGGGCGCCAACGACGCCGGCTACGGCCACTGGTCCCACGTGGCCGGGCGCTCGTCGTTCGGCCTTTGCCGTGCGTCAGCCCGTTATGCCCGCGCATTCGACGAACGTGTTCCCGCCCACGCCGATCACGGCGACGTTCGGTAGTCCACCTCCATCGACCCCTTCTCCCGCAGAACTTGCCGTTCCCGCCTCGGCGCCGTCACCCAGTGCGATCAGCGATGTGTCGCAGGACGAACCCGGTCCTTCTACACCGCCGCCGCCCGCTCATGCTACGTTGCCGGCTGTATGGAGCGCATCGCCCGCTGAGGGCTCCGCGCCGTTCAACTTTGGCTTCGGGAATAGGCATTTTGCCGCTGAGCCCGAGCCTGGTAGCGCACGCGTCAGTGTCCCAGTCAAGACGCGTCCCGCTTCACC